GGATATCCAGTTTTCCCAGCACCATTTGTCAAAAGAGGGATATTTTTTATTTTTCCTTTTGTTTTATCTCTTATTCCAACCTATCAAGTTTTGTTCTTTTCCCCTTTAATATGCGTAACACTTTTTCACTCTCAGGCCAATTTCCAATCAGAGCCTTAGCAATCTCACACCTAACTGACTGCATCTGTGTCTATCCTGCCAAGCTCTCAGCAAAAAATAAATGGAATTGAATTCTTGTAATTCACCTGCTCCAGAGCCTACAATAAAACCCTACTCCATATAGCATCAGGGCCAAGCTCCTCTCCCTGTCTTCCCTAACCTGTCTAACCAGCAAATCAAAGATGTACAACTTTATCTTCATGTTTATTCAGCTCCGCACTGAAAGGGGGTTCCCTTTCCTTTCCCCCGTCATCACCTTCCTGTCTGTGCACCCCATTAAAACCCACAGAGGTCCTACAGGCTCCTCCAAGCCCCAGCTCCTTGAGAAATGCCCCTTGCCTTTTCCAGGCCTCACAGCACTCTCCTGGGTCCCTGCTGCATGTGTGTGCTCTGTAGCACAATCCCTGTGCACATGACCGTGTACACAGCATTTCATGCTGCCACCCAGCACTGAGGAGCAGTTACTGAGCAGCTACTGAAGTTCACAGCATTGTGCAGACATGACACATTTCATGCAAGCACTGTTTCCTCCTGCTGTCAAATGGGGGAACCCAATAGAATAAAATAAAGGATCCTCCTAGATCTAGAATTCCACTCCTCCATCCATGCTAGAGGGACTCAGTTTTTAAGTTTAAGCTTAAAATTAACTTCAAATTTCCAGTGGAGGGAACTTTCCAAAACGAAGCCCCTGTTTCCAAAGATCCCACTATTTTTGTATTTTTGTATTTTTGTATTTTTGTTGTTTTGTTTTTGCCACCTAACTCACTAGGCCTATTCGTGATAGAGCCCCTGTTTAGGGCATCTGTGCTGCAAGACCCTCCAAGTCTCAAAGTTAATTTAGAGAGTCTGAGATTGCAACTCCTCCCCCCCACCCCCACCATTAAAAAAAAATCTTTCAAATTGCAGAGGCAAAGTTTGATCCCTTCCTCGAGAGCTGAGAACAATAGGAGCTTTCTGCTCTAGTGCGACTTCAAAGGGTTGCAGAGTGACTGCTCTCAGAATACTGGGTTGTGACGACTAAAGAAACGCACAGGCGTCCTCCTGCGATGCGCAGTGCCCCCTGAGCACCAGGGACTGTCTGTCCCCTTTCTGACCAACACTTTAGTAAAGCAAGGAGTGGTGCTTGTAAGTGGGCAGGTGCAGGAAACTGGAAGGTTGCGCCTTTGGCAGAGATCTGGGCACTTAAGCAACCCCTGCGGTAAAGAGCCAAAGAACTAAGAATTAGTTGAAATGACCTAAATAAATGGGGGGGGGGGGGGGGCGGTAAGGGAAGAATCAACTGGAGCTGGTTTTCTGGATTGATTCCAGAGGCATGATTCCCTGGTTGCTGCAAGGAAATGCCTGAGGCCAGATACCAGGCTTGGTCTCGAACTAGTAACCAGAAGTTCTTGGCGGACACTTTTCTCTCTGAGCACGCAGAGCGGGTCCACCCGTCGCGCAATGCCTCCTCGGAGTCACCTACCCGCCTCTTGCAGGTGGCATCCAGCCGGCCCACCTCCAAAGCCTACTGTTTGGAGGGCAGCAAAGTGCGGCTCCTCAGCATGGGCAGCTGCTAAACAACCTCCCCGTGGCGCCCCAGTTAGAGTTTGCGCCCTATGCACCGACCTGATAGCATAAATATATATATATGTTTTATTAAAAGGAAGATTTGTCAGTTCATCTCTTGGAGGACCTCGGAGTTCCAGGGTCCTCCCGTGCACAAACACCCACCAACAATAGAAAGCCATCAAATCTTCCCTCCTGTGAACTCGCACCCCAGCGGACAGCTCTTTGAACTGACCGCAGCCCCCGCAGCCCCCGCAGCCCCCGCAGCCCCGCGCCGTCCCCAGCGCGCTCGGCCCTCCCGGGCTCCCTCCCGCCCTCCCTCCCGCCCCGCTGTGCACTTTTGCAGCGCGCTGGGTCTTTGATGTCTTTTTGCATTATTGCAGAGCTGCCACGCGCTCTTCCCGGCGCTCGGGGATTTGTGTACCACCACTGACATTTGGCCCTGATACCTGTATCTCTTGGTGATTCTAACAAATTTCTAAAATAAATGTTGTACTTTGATCTCCCGGCGTTGCACTTTTTTATGGTCGCTGCGGAACATTACTTCATTAAGAGTAAGTTTTTCAGGAGCACGGAACGCAAAGGGAGGGAGGCTAAACAGCAGTTTGCAAAAGTCTCTGCAGACTTCAGCTGGCGCCTGGGAGAGCTGGAATCCCAGGAGGTGAAGCGCAAGGATTTCCAACACTCAACTCGAGCCTGCTGCGAGTTGTCCCAGCACTGCCCTAAAGTCTTTGCATATATCAAGTCATCTTTTGAGCCTACAAGAACTGTGCAGGTGAGCATTTTACACACTGGGAAAATAAAGCACAAAAAGGCTGAGGAACTTGCTTATCAAAGTTACCAACTGGAAAGTGGACATCTCTGGGTTCAGATTTTCAGAGTCCGGGCTCTTAACCACAAAACACTGGTTGGAAGTGTAACTGGCTAAGTGGAGGCATCTCAGAGAAAAAGTCCTCTCCTAACACAACCAAGAGCGTGTGGACTGGCCTTTCTTGCCTTTTTGTCACAATAGGGAACAGATTCGGCAAGTGCGAATGCCTTCTAGTCTGCTTGGCCCAGCCGGGTGTGTGTGTGTGTGTGTGTGTGTGTGTGTAAGAGCTCAAACGATTTCCGAAGGACACACGCTAAGGGACTAGACCACTTGCTTGCCCAGTGTGGACTGGTGCTGGCTGGGCTGTGCACCACGGGGCTCCCTGGCCTCTGACTTGTATCGGGAAAAGGGCTCCTACAGATCCCAGGCTTTGAGGAGACTCAACTTGTGGAAAGGGGTAGGTTTACCTGGCCTCAGATCTAAGCACTAAGTCCCTTCCCTTCCCCTCTCTGAGAGCACCCAGACCTCCTCACCGAGCTGTGTAGTCACTGCTCAGAGTTCCCGGGGTGACACCTGGTTGGAGAGATGAGGGGCGTGCAAGGACCGGAATTGCAAAGCGCTCAGTATTGGGGCCACTCCCGGCCCATGTGTCTCAAGCAAGACGTCTCTTTTCGCTGATGGGCCCTGGGCATGGGGGAAAGTGGGCCTGGTGGCGCAGTGTCCCAGCCCTTTGTGGAATGCAGAGGGCACCAGTGTACCACAGCCCAGACTCTGAATCAGCCACCCTACCTGTCTTCTCACATCAGTCCCGCTGCAGGGCGGTACCCGGGAGGACTAAGCGCAGGGAGGCTGCGGGCGAGAGGACTCGGAATATCCCTGCACCGCCCTGGACCGGGGAGAACACCCCGTTCTGCGGAGGGAGAGGCCGGCACGGGTCTGGGTCTGCCAGGCCCAGGAGGCCCAGCAGCCCCGGCTCCACGCCTCAGAAGCCATTCGCTGCCTCTAATCCTTCTAGTGTTGTGGGGACCCCGCAGCTCCTCGCCCGCCTCTTCCTTACACCCTCCCCCCCACCCCAACTCCCCAAGAGAGGAGATCCAGGTGTTCGTACTGCCCCGCAGGCTCCGCCTTGCACTCTCGGCCGGAGGGAGGGAGGCAGGTGGCGGACTTCCCTGCTCGGCTGGGCGTGGAGGGATAGCGAGGGTGGGGGTGGGGGTGCATACTGGTGAGCATTTCCCTGCCCCGGGCCAAGCATCCTGCTCCTGAAAAACTTCCTCTTCTTTGCAAAGGTAGTGAGAACAGCCGTCTTGATGGACTTTTCTTTCCGATTAGAGGACTCTTTATTTGTCCTGGTGCCTAGTGTTATGGTTTGTTCAACAACAAAAGGCTTCCTCGGCCAAGCCTCACTTTTCCGAGGAGTGTCCCCGGGTGGGTCTGTGCGGCTCTGAGAGCGCGCCCTCCCAGAGCAGGGCCAGGCCGGGGAGGGGTGGGGGTGAGGGGGGATTGCCAGCCCCGTTGGGGGCTTTGGGGGGCGGCTAAGGGCGATCAGCCCCCTTCCACGGCGGGGTGCAGGGCTACGGGCCTGGAGAGAGAAGGGCTAGGGAACAGCATTTCTTCCTTCCTTCGGGTGTACATTCTGGAGTGCTCTGGGTGTACATTCTGGAGTGCTCTGGGTGTCCCGCCCAGCTCGGGTGTTTTCCCAGACTATCTGCAAAGTTGTGGCCCTAGAAAACTTCCAGGTCGCCATAGGAACGTCTCCAGAGGGCCCCAGGAACTGGTCAGGCGGGCGGCCCCCGAAGTGTGCGCGCCACCCACTGTGGTTCTGGGCGGGCGGCCGCCCCGCCCGCCGCTCGCGGAGGCGGGCAGGGGGCACGCGGCGGGCGGGGCGAGGGGAGGCCCGCGCCCCGCCCCGGGAATTCCCTCGGGCCCGCGGGGTGCGCGCACGACTCTGGCGGGAAGTGTGTAAGCACCGGGGAGGGGAGAATGGCCCTCATCTCCGGGAGTCTCAAAGTCCGAGCCGGGAAGACGAGGGCCGATCTCTCCGGAGATAACAAAGACACTTTGCCACTTTGGGCGCTGCCACGGTGCAAATCTTTAATTGCAAGGGAGTGTGGGGGAAGAGAGGATAGAGAGAATCCAGCCACCAAGCGCGGGTCTCCGGGCGGCAAGGCCCCCTTTGATCAGGAAAATCCAATTATTTGTGTATATACATTTCCCACATAGTGATTACTTCATTAATTGTCCCGCCTTTATCTCCTCCCTCCCCATCCCCCCACTAATAATCAGTTCTTTTATCCAGACCAACAAACACACCATAGGAGCTTTGTGGATTCAAAGGATTTGCTTTCGCTTCTGAAAGAGCCGCTATTCTTTGATGATTGGGTGGCGGCGAACTTCAAAGCCATAAATCTTCCCTCTGACTGGCTGGCGGCCCGGCAAAGTCCTTATCAAATTCTTGGAGGTGATCCTGAAGCGCTCAGACTCCGCGCCGGGCGAGCGCGCGGGGTGCGGCCGGGGGCGCGGGCAGCGAGGGCCCGGTGCGTGGGGCGGCGCCGGCGAGGGGCCAGGGCCAGGGGCGCTGCCGGCCGGCCTCGGGGTCTCCATGCCTCCGCTGCGCCCCGCTCCGCAGCCCGCCGCCGGCCAGCGGTAGCCATGGCCGCGGTGGCCGTCCTCCGGAGCGACTCGCTGCAGGCCTTCCTCCAGGTCAGGGCGGGGCTCGGAGGGGGCCGGGGGCAAGGTGGGAAGGAAGGATCGGGTCTCGATGTCTCTAGGTGCTCTTCGTACCCCGAGTCTCAAAAGGAGCCGTGCTCCGCGGCTGTCGCTGGAGTCAGACTTAGCGGGGTGCCCACGCCAACTTAGCACCAAAGCTTGGTGCCAGGAGGGTGGCCTTTGTAGGGGGTGGGACGCGCGGGCCCCGGGGTGGTCCCGGGGTGCCTTTGCCTGAGAACAAGGCCCTCGCTGACCCAGGTGGCCCGTCCCCCCCACCCCTACCCCCGGCTGATTTCAGCCAGGGGCGGGGGCGGGGGCGGAGCCCGGGAGTCGCGTGGAAACAGCTTAAAAGATGAGAGGGAGGGAGTCAGGGGGGCAGTCCGGCTGTGGGTGTCTCCAGGCCCCTTCTGACCGCGGCACCGGGAGTCGGGGGGTCGGATCCCTCTCCCCTCCCATTCCGCGCCTGGCTCCTCTGAGCCTGGGTGGCCAAGCACAGTGATCTCACAGGAGCCCCCGTGTGCCCCGCGTGCAGGTAGAGCAGCACCCAAAGTTTCCCGGGCCCGGTGGGTGCGCGCGGGGGGCGGGGGAGGGGCGGCCGGATAACCGCGGGCGAAGGGGTGGCGGGCCGGCCCGGAGCCCGCGCTCCGAGCGTTAACCTTTTTGTGTCTGTTCTCCGCCCTCCCCGGCGGCCGCCGCCGCCCATGCAGGACCGCACCCCCAGCGCCTCCCCGGACCTGGGCACGCACTCCCCCCTGGCGCTGCTCGCCGCCACCTGTAGCCGCCTTGGCCAGCCGCCGGGCGCCGCGCCGGCCCCGGACTTCCTGCAGGTGCCCTACGACCCGGCGCTGGGCTCGCCCTCCCGGCTCTTCCACCCGTGGGCCTCCGACATGCCGGCGCACTCGCCGGGCGCGCTGCCGCCCCCGCACCCCAGCCTGGGGCTGACGCCGCCGCAGAAGGCGCACCTGCAGCCGTCGTCCTTCGGGGCGGCTGCGGCGCACGAGCTGCCGCTCACCCCGCCGGCCGACCCCTCGTACCCTTACGAGTTCTCACCCGTCAAGATGCTGCCCTCCAGCATGGCGGCGCTGCCCGCCAGCTGCGCGCCCGCCTACGTGCCCCCCTACGCCGCCCAGGCCGCGCTGCCGCCCGGCTACTCCAACCTGCTGCCCCCGCCGCCGCCGCCGCCGCCCACGTGCCGGCAGCTGTCCCCCAACACGGCCCCCGACGACCTCCCCTGGTGGAGCATCCCGCAGGCGGGCGCCGGGCCGGGCGCCGCCGGGGTCCCGGGGGGCGGCCTGTCCGGAGCCTGTGCCGGCGGGCCCCACGCGCCCCGCTTCCCCGCCGCCGCGGCCGCCGCGGCCGCCGCCGCCGCCCTCCAGCGGGGCCTGGTGCTGGGCCCGTCGGACTTCGCGCAGTACCAGAGCCAGATCGCCGCGCTGCTGCAGGCCAAGGCCCCCCTGGCGGCCGCGGCCAGGAGGTGCCGCCGCTGCCGCTGCCCCAACTGCCAGGCGGCGGGCGGCGCGCCGGAGCCCGAGCCCGGCAGGAAGAAGCAGCACGTGTGCCACGTGCCCGGCTGCGGCAAGGTGTACGGCAAGACGTCGCACCTGAAGGCGCACCTGCGCTGGCACACGGGCGAGCGGCCCTTCGTGTGCAACTGGCTCTTCTGCGGCAAGAGCTTCACGCGCTCTGACGAGCTGCAGCGGCACCTGCGGACCCACACGGGCGAGAAGCGCTTCGCCTGCCCCGAGTGCGGCAAGCGCTTCATGCGCAGCGACCACCTCGCCAAGCACGTGAAGACGCACCAGAACAAGAAGCTCCGGGCGGCGGAGGCCGGCGTCAAGCGGGAGGACCCGCGGGACCTGTGAGCGCAGCCGGGGGCAGGCGAGGCCTTTCCGCCGCCTCGCGCTCCCCAGCACCTCTAGGAAAAGTGAAGGGGAGGTCCTGGGGCCTGTGGGCAGCTGGCCGAGGGGAGTCCCAACACAGGCACTGCCCCTCCCTGCTTCCCTGGCCCGGCAGGCGGACAGGGACCCCTGCGCCCAGGAGAAGCAGGGGAGGCGGGGCGGAGGGCTCTGTGCACCCCAAAGGGAGGTTTGGAGCTCAAACCATTCCCAGCACCGTCTGGGAGACCTACCGTTTGGGGGGACTTGCCCTGAGCGGACCTGGGTATAGGAAACGTTGCTGAATTGAAGCGGGAGGAACCTTGGGAGAGTTGAAATAGTGCTGGGTTGGGGTTTTTTTGTTTGGTTTTTTAGGTTCTGGCCCGGCTTTGTACAGGTTATTTAATAGCTTTGTTAAAGAATAATGATAATAATTACATTAATGAAAATGTTACTTTTGTCCTCAGCTCTATGCAGAGCTACAGCATGAAATGTCTATGTAAAGCAATCAGCAGTTGCAACGTGGAAATAAATACGTTAACTCCGGGGGCCACCCTGGGGAAGACCCCGCTGAGCCGGTCTCATTTGATCTTTTCTTCTTCCTTCTTCCGGGAGGCTTCACCGAGAGGTCAGGTTTCACCAGGAATTTGGAGGTTCCTGGAGGCTGCTCGCGTCCCAGGCTTCTTTGGTTTGGAAGATTCTGGGGAAGTGTGTTTATTGGGTGCATGGATGGAGGACGGAGGGCAGGGTCTGTTTTGTGATAAAGAAGATAGGGCAAGATTTTCCAGGCCCACCCCGCGTGACTAACTTGTGCAGCCTTAGGACTTCTTACCTGGACAATTCCCTGTGGCTTTCCTTTTGTTGGTACTCTAGAAACAGGTCTTACGCCAGCTTCGCTTCTTCCTGGCAGCCAGCTATGCTGGTGTCTGGAAAGGTCCTAGCGACTCAAGGATCTGCTCACAGGTGAGATTTTTGGAGAGTTAATAGAGAAGCTGGGGGCCCTTGTTCAGGTTGCTCTCTGCCTGGGAAAGAGGCATCAGTTTCGCATTTCGGCCCCATCACGGTATACAACGTTGTCTTGTTTTTCGTCTTAATTATTTTGCTGTACAAATATTAGCCTTGTTTCTGGCTGGACCTGGAAGTACAGTTCCATTTTGTATCTTGGGATTTTATTAACCATTGAAGTAGACTAAGATTTTCCTCAGGGAGGGGCCAGGAATACTCATATCCAGGTTTTTCTCCTGATTCTAAAATGTGAAATTTTCAAGTTTACAAGTGCGTTTTGCAAACTCTCAGCTCTGCTGGTTCCTTGATGCTTTCTAATATTTGAGGTTTTAAACCTGAAACTGAAATCTTAACCTTCTGATTTAGAATTAGCAAAGAACAGAACCTTTTAAATTTTGTTAATATGCTAAACTGGCATCATTAATGCCAAATTTCAGTGGAATTCAATCATCTTTTCGTGGTGATAGAAGTGTACTATGTAAGTTGATATGATTTCCCAGTTTACAAACAAAAGTTGCCTTTTGTTTAAGGTCAAAGTGAAGGGTAAGTTCTTAAAAGCTGTGAGGGTTGTACTTGAGACTTACTCTAGTAAGTCAAGCACAAATATCAACATCATTAAGATAAGGATTACTGTTATACTCATAAGAAATGGCATTTTCACTCCATTAACTTGGGACAAGGTAGCAAATGAATAATAGAATCATTGTGGAAATATGCCTTAGAACCAGTCACTCTCATTAGAAATTTTGAAACTACTTAATGACAAATTAGACTGAGTCTTCAGGGTGCTTTACCAGGGAAAGGCAATTTGGGTTAGCTAAATTGTGGCAGTTTTTCTAGCAAGGAATAAGAAAGACGTTAGAGTAACATTAACATACATGTAAACGTGTAATCTTGATCTAAATCAAGATTCTTGAGAATCATTTCTATGAAGAGTTAGAGAAACTCAAGTCTGAGGCATAGTGTGGGATCAACCTTAGAGCCAGAAGAGGTTTTTTGGCAGTATGAAGAGACCAAGGGCTTTTGACTCAGAAAAGTTGAAGTGATCCTTTCCTGAGAAAGAGAATGCCCTTGGTAGAGGGGGGAACTGGCAATTTTGAATGAGTCTACTAGCTATTCTTGCCAGCTACCCTGTTTCCCCAAAAATAAGACAGTGTCTTATATTAATTTTTTCTCCCAAAGTTGTGCTAGGTCTTATTTTCAGGGGATGTCTTATCTTTCCATGCGCTAGGTCTTATTTTCGGAGGATGTCTTATTTTTGGGGAAACACAGTATGAACATTTAGTATCCAAACAGATGAAGTGATGAAGATAGCTTCCTTATCTATTTAACTTTGTGGTTATTAAGAGAAAACTTACATATTATCTATAAAATGTAGTATCTAAGTGAGGTGTTGAAGATATTTCCTTATTACTATAAATTTTATGATTGTTAAACTAGATAAAATATATTAAATATATCTAAAAGTACAGTAATTAAAAGCAGAATAAAGTCATTTGATGACATAACTTTTTATATATTTCATTTACTTGAACCTGCAAATTAAAAAATATATATATGATTAAAGTACAGTCTCTAGACTAAACTTCGTATAGCTGGAAGACTGCTCTTTATTGTGCCACTGCAAATCTATTCCAATTACTTTAAGGAAAAAAAGTTTATGCCATTATCCAAGAGGCAATCAGAAAGCCACAATAATGTGACATTTTTGTCCAAGTGTAGGAAAGTATTTCATGTTTATACTGAAAAATAAGCTAATAAATGCTCAGCAATACCAACTTTGTGCAGAAATGTATTAGACTATATAAGCTGTTAAAATTTAAACTGCTATTGCATGCTTTATTTGTTTCATAAAACTGCAACCAGAGTACCATTTAGGACTTTAAAATGATTTTTAAATCAATATGTAGGAAATAATATGCATAAATGATGGATTTAAGCACACTTAGCAGAAAAATTAATGAAATTCAAATTAAAAGAAGTTCAAAAACAAAGTGCTATTAAATATAAACTAAAATTAAAAATAAATAAATAAATATAAACTAAAATTCATTTTATATTATAATTGTAGTTTTACCAGTATCAAAAAAGACAGTTTAATCTACCAACTGTATTCAAGGCTTTACTTGGAACCCAAAACCCAATTCAATTAGGTTGTAAAAACTAGTTGAAGAAAATATGTTAACAATGGCCTTTAATGTCAATAGACATTTTATTCTTTCTAAGCAACTGTCTTAATAGTATGCAAGTATAGTAGTGTAAGGTGTCATATTTTAGAAAATTCTAGATTGGTGTGATATTATTTTAAATTTAACACTCAGTTGATAAATGAACCATTTTTACCAAGAACTTAGAAACATGGAGAAATTTAGTTATCAGTAATTTAGGTAATTTGTGTTTCTTGAGTTGTTTTTATACTCTATCATTTTCTGCTTTTCTCAAGAGAAAATTGTGCAAATTTACCTTTGGCTGACTGCTAATTTTTAGTAGTTCTGGTAATGAATGAAAGCAAATTGTGTTAAAGAAAATGCCAGTGTATTATTCACTATTATGTTAGTCTTTTCTAGTTTGGGTTAGAGTTCAAATGTGATAGCTATATTGTATATATTGTTATAAAATTTTTCTCATAAGTCAAACAAGATGTACCAATTAATCTTAATGATGTGCATGTTTACTGCAGAAATATATTTGAAACAATATTAATAGAAAAGGCAGTTTTTCACTAAGTTTGCACCATGTTTCTATTCTAATACTGTGGGTCTTTAAGTAATCAGTTAAAGGCAGCAGCTTTGTGTTTCCCATTATTTTGGTTTATCTGTGAGAGTTTCACAGAATGTTATTAGGGCCAGAGCTCTGACTTCCAATGTGTGCAAGCACCTAGTAGGCTGTTTGGAGCTCTGAAGTTGCAGAGCATGTGCCTCGTCGGTTGAAGTTAATTGACAATATCTTCCTGGGAAATGGTCTGCTGTGTTTTACAGTAAATGTAATTAAGATTTTCTAACATCCCAAACTGAGGAGCATGCAAAACAAATATTAATGCTCATTAATGTTCTGTTGTATATCATTACCTTCCTCTGGTTTGCATGCTGGAGGGGAACTTCAAAAGTTTATGGCAGCAAGTGCAGCTTTGAAATGAGTATATGTCAACAGTTTGATAACCTAGAGGAAAAAAATCTAGATAGAAAGATGTATGTTAGTAAGGAGATATATATTTAGATTAATACACCACCAGGGCATGTTTTATTACTGAGCCACTATAATGGTAACATGGTTGATTAGTGGGTAATTCATTCAATATACAGAGGGGGGGGGAAGCAGGTTTATAGTTGTGAATATGTGTAACAGTTTATTCTTGTATTGTTATTTATTAATTATTGTATTATTTTCCATATGAACAACTGTAAACCTACTTTTGCTCCACCCTTTATGTAAACAGTACATTTTTCCCTGGTGCTGTTCAAACTGAACACTTTTTTTGCATCAAGATCTTTGTACCTATTTACTCCTCCCTTGATTGTTTTTAAAGAATGTGCAATTTTTCAAATTAATTTATGGATATTGTAATATAACTTACATGATATTCCTTACTATAGCAAGTAAGTGATAGCATTCAACAAATATGTAATCAAACATTTATGGACCATCACAACTTTTTCTGGTAGTTACAAGGTTTTTTTACTATTATAACTTAACTACCAGTTGAAGATTTGCACATGATGATTGATATACTATACATTTTCATGCTGACATTTTGATGATTTCTCTTTATAGTCTTTATGTTCTTTCCTTCCGGTTCAACTTCAGTGATTATGCTGAAGCATAATCCACAATGGGGTAGTTGACACTTCATAATTAAATCCATGCATGTGAACTGCAGTAGTTTCTGCACAATATCTAATAAACTATATTATATATTTTGGTTGTCTATCTAATGTCAAATTCAATTTAGGGAAAACAGTCTAGTTTCTAATTTGATATATGGAAAATAGCAACTTTCACTTTTCAAAAGTTGTTTCATCATCATGGACATTCAAAGTGCCTATTATAAAACAAACGTTTGTTTTACACCAAAACTAATTTTTTCATTATCAAATTTCTTTTTTTTTCATTATTAAACTTCTGATATCAAAAAAATACTAAATTTTCCAAAGTCTAAGGCAATATATAGGTGTTACCTGATTTTTAAATATAAAGCTAAATTTTTGAGTCATACGGGTGCTCTCTAATGATTTTGTGTCGATGGAAAGCATCTGGTCCTGTTTCATCCAATTCATAGGCCAGTGTCAAAACTACAATAAATGCTCATTTATACTTATAGTTGGGAAAATGTGTCCCAATGTGAAAAGTTTTTGGTGGCAATTTCCTGAAACTCTACATGAGGTACCATGAAAGCTTATTTCTCTTATTTCTGTCTTTGAGAAATTTATTCTTGTATTTTG